CCTTTGGCTTACGAGGCAGTCTTCTCTTTTTTGAGCTCGGGAAGCCCAAAGCCTTTCTTTTCCGCTTCCTCTCTCCTATTGCAGCTCCAAGCTGCCCCAAAGCATAGGAGTCAACGGGCAAGTCTTCGTCCCCGACCGGAGGCCTAAGCTCGACGGTCTTAGGCAAACCTGCAAAAAGAAAATAAAGGAAATAAGAACGCGATGCTAGAAGAAGCCCAATACGACTTGCTCGGGAAAAGAATCTTACCATGGGAATGGGCCTCCCAATGGCCTTTCGAGAGTTTGCGCCACGAGCACTCAGAGTAGGGCATCTATGACACAATACCCTCGACCCACTCCTTGTGCCGAGGAATAGGTTTGGAACTCGAGCAAGGGTTGCACCACAGCAAACACCGATAAGAAAAGGGAAGATAAAACGTAAAATCGACACTTAAAGGGAGTTATACTTGTGATACGTTCCACTTCTCGGGGAACAGCCTCCACTCAGCAGGTATCAGGTTGGCGGTCCTTACCCGGACAAAGCGTCCTTGCCAACCTCGATTCCGGTCCTCGTCAATGCTCAAAAATGGGGCTTTGTTTGCCCAACGCACAAACTTTATCAGTCCCCCCGGAAGATTCGGGGACTGTACAAGCAGAGTAGATGATCGATGGTGAACGTGCACGGATCGATTTTGTTCACAAAGAATCGGAGGAGGATCACGATCTTCCACAGTGATGGGCGAATTTGGCCGAAACATACATTATACCTCCCACAGAAGTCTAAGATGACCGGGTCTACCGGGCCCAATGTAAAGGAATAAGTGTAAACACTCAGATATCCCTCAAGATGAGTGGTAATGGCCTCTTCGGAGTCGGGGACCACTATGTCCTTGTCAGCCCAGTTGTAGTCTTTTCAGACAGTGGGGAGGTCCTCTTCGGTGATTGAGCAAATATATCTCGAGGCCTCCGCATGCCGACCCTGTACCAAAGAAGGTTTCTCAACCTTGAAGTCGTCGTTGACTGAACAACCCCCGGGAATGAACATCTTCAAGGGAGGTTCTGCACCGGTTCATCAGTAGCCATGCCAGCAGTAGATCTCTCGAGGTTAACCACATTGGAAATGGTCTCGTTAATTTTGGCAGTCAGTTGGGAAGTAGAGGCGCCCGTTTGGGGAACAGATTTGGAGGTTTTGGCCATTGATGTCTGAAAAGGCCAAAAAAGATGGAGAAAATATTGAAAATTGAAAGCTCAGATGTGTTGGCTTGGATAGGGAATGAGTAAAAGCTTGCAATTTACTGGGAATCTTGAGCAAAGAAGGTAAAATTACTAGAATATAAAGGAATGGGGTAATTAAATCCTGAAAGTACGAAGATAGAAGTTTGGACGTAAAGTAAAAAATGAACGAATGAGGGAATATTTATAGGGGCTCCGTGATGTTTCATGTCCAGGAACAACCAAACGGCAGCTGACACGCAGTTGAGGTCATAATAACATGATTGACGAGACATTTCGAGTTTTCTTATCATTTCTGTCACGACGTATTGAAGAAGGAATCGAGGGGCTCATGCCGTTTCTCATCAACTTACTCTCCGAGAAACGAGTGGACTATCTGTATATGGGTAAAACCAAGCTCATGGTACACCCCGACTTCGGATAAGATAAATCAAGCCAGAGATATGAAGGCGAGGGACTGGAATCAAGGCGAGGGTCTTATCGAGTCAGAGTCCAGGGGCGTGACACCCACCCTCGAGAATATCGAGGTCATGATCTGGAATCGGTCTAAATCCCAAAGGACCTCGGAGGACGTCGTCGGGCAACCAAACAAGACCAACAAAAGGTCGTGATATCTGCGACCGGTCGGATGTCACGGTTCAGATCTCGGCACACATCGATAGAGGACAAGTGATTAGTTAAACAGAAGATTTCCTACCTTCTATAGAATTGTACTTAAGGTAAAACTCCCCTACTATATAAAGGGAAGTCTGATCATTAATTAAACATATTGTAACACACATTCCAAGGCAATATAGTATTATTTTCTTTGTTCTTATTCTTGTTCATTAGTGCTTGTCTTTGTGAGCCCGGATTGGGGTGGATATCTCATTGAGGCTAGAATTATCTGAGTTTACTATGTCTTTATTTATTTAATCTAACGCAATTTATCATTTGTATCGAATTAATTCGCGTATCCTTAAAGTCACTTACAAATTCATTTGTTATCCGTTTCCGAGGGTAAACAGTCACAATTGAGATTATGAAAAATATGATGACCAAATATAATTTCACTATAAATTTTGAGGATCGAATATGCAGTTCACATAATAAATAAATATGACGAATAAAAATATCTATGCAATGATGAAAGGGGAAATCCCTCGGATAGAATAAATAAATAAACAACACCAGCAAATAAATAAAATAAAAGTTGCCTTTTAAAATATAAAAAAAATTGTTCGTAAACCATAGTTATTCTCACGAAGAAGAAAAAGAAAAATAAAAAAGAAGTTCTTAATAAAATAAAAAAATTAATACACAACTAGGAGGAAAGACACAGAAATCCCACGTGCTTTGCCCTATTTAGTTAAAACAAATACACTCGTGAGAGAAAATTGTAAGTGGCAAGTGAAAGAAATACGTCGGAGAAGAAGGAAACCTGGGTGCATTGATGTGGCAGAGAGGTTGGGTTTCTTGGATTCGAGCCCTTAGTAGAAGCCTGTAGACTAATTTAGTTGGTGCAATTTTTTGAAAACTTGTTCATCTGCTGGACCATTAACATCCAAACAGATCATTAATCTTGTATGGACCTACATTGTTTTATTTACTACTCTTACTACTATTTAACTTATGTTTCTTGATTCTGTGTAGTTGGTTCTGAAGTGTTCCATGAAGAATGAAGAAAGCAGCTAAATGGATTGATTGGCTAATCTTTTTATATAATCTATTAACTTGCAAGGAAAATAACGGGAACTAAGCTAGCAATCTAAGAGAGAAGGAAAAGGAACTAAGTATTCTCATTCATAATCCTCAAATGGGCAAAGTGCAGTACATATAAAGTGACTGAAATGGAGACTAAAGTAAAAGAAATATAAGACTAACTGGACTTAAGTGAAAATACTTTTTAGGACTAAACTGCTAGTTCTCAAACTATATAACTGACTTAACTACTCCTTATTCTCGTACTACTACTCAAGCTCTATGTACTCCTCCCGCAGCTGTGCAATTGATGCAGTTCATATCAGTACTCCCACCTGAAAATCTTCCTTGTCCTCAAGGTTGTCCTCAAGGAAGGAAAGATGGAAACCTGACACGCAGAATACTAGCATCTTCCCAAGTCGCTTGATCTTCTGGAAGCTGATCCTATTGAATTAAAAGCTGAACTATTGCTTTATTCCCCTTCTGAACCATCCTTCTATCCAACACTTTAGCAGGGCAAGGATAGTAAGGGTCGGACAAGTCCAATACTGGAGGGTGAGGTACTTTCTGAGGAACCTCCTAACAGGGTTTAAGTAAGGATACATGGAAGGTGGGGTGCAACATCAACTGTGAAGGCAAGGACAGTTTGTAGGCAACATTGCCTACCTTCTGAAAGATCTGGTATGGGCCATAATGCTTGGAGGAGAGTTTGGTAAAGTGTCTGCTAGATAAAGTCATCTGCCTGTAGGGTTAAATCTTAAGATATATCCACTCTCCAACCTTAAACAATCAGATCTTTTCCTGTTGTCTTGGTCGACCATCCTCTGTTGAGACTTGGACAGATGGAACTTAAGTAGCTGCAACTTGAGCTCCCTTGTCGTCAAGCTTCTATCCACTTCTGGTACCCCTGAATCTCCTTGCATATAAGTCAAGTGTAAAGGTGGAGGCTGGCCAGAAAGAAGGCTTCAATGGTATGGTCTGAGTGGATGTGTGAAAGGTGGTGTTGTACCACCATTCTGCAAAGATCAAATAATGCCCCCAATCTGCAGGTGAGTCAGAGCAGTAGCATCTCAAATAAGTCTCCAAACACCTATTGATAACCTCAGTTTGACCATTGAATTATGGGTGGTCATCAGTAAAATTGTTTAAGGTCACTCCTTGGGTAGCAAACAGTTCCTGCCACAATTTGCTCGTGAAGATTGGGTCCATGTCACTCACAATATCTTCAGGCATTCCATGAAGCTTAAAGATATTTTCCATGAACAGTTTGGCAATGTCTATTGGAGAATAAAGATGTTTAATTGCTACAAAATGAGCATATTTTGTCAATTTATCTACCACTACCCAAATGACTTCTTTCCCATTGGACTTAGGCAACCCCTCGATAAAATCCATGCTAATGCTACTCCATGCCAGTGCTGGGATTTGTAGTAGCTGCAATAGGCCTGGAGATGCAAAGTGGTCATACTTGATTTTTTGGCACACATCGCATTTTTTAACATAGTTCTCCATATCTTCCTTCATCCCTCTCCAGTAAAACAGAGCAGTAATCTTCCTGTAAGTGTGGTCGATTCCAGAATGACCACTAGTAACTGAGTCATGCCACAATTGAAGTATCTCCTTCCTAAGCATTGCATTAGACCCAATCGCTAGTCTTCCATTCTTTCGCAATTGCTGATTAATGAGAGAATACCCCTTCACTTCTTGTTTAAGATTACTTAATCGATACATTAACTCTTGTAACTCAGGATTTGTACTCCAGCTATTCATGATGGCCTGTAGTAGGTCAATTCTCACGGTAAATAGTGAGAGAGCAGCAATTGTCACTGCAGGAATCCTGGATAGAGCATCTGCAGCTTTATTCTCCTTACCCTTCTTATATTCAATGTCAAAGTCATACTGCATGAGTTTAGTCACCCACTTCAATTGTGCTCCTGTGTGCAACTTTTGGTCAGTTTTAACAATGAAATGTCTACCTATTAAATACTGACCCCATCTTGTGACAGCCATTACTAATGCTAGCAACTCTTTGTCATACACAGACATAGCTTGGTGTTGTTTAGATAACCCTTTACTTAGATATGCAATAGGTTGGCCCTTCTGCATAATCACAGCTCCAATTCCCACATCAGACGCATCAGTTTCGACTGTAAATACCAAGCTGAAATTGGCAGAGCTAACACTGGTGCAGTAGTTAGAGCATTTTTCAATGATTGAAATGCTGCACTTGACGTCTCAGTCCACTTGAAACAATCTCTCTTCAACAAATCAATTAGGGGCTTGCTAATCTGCCCATAGCCCCTAATGAATCTCTTGTAATATCCAGCCAACCCCAAAAAGCCTCTTAATTGCTTGACAGTAGAAGGGGTTGGCCACTCTTGTTCTGCCTGGATTTTCTTAGGGTCAGTAGAGACCCCCTTGGCAGAGATATAATGTCCCAGATACTCCACACTTGTTGTAGCAAAATGACATTTAGATTTCCTAGCAAAGAGATGGTGCTGCATCAACAATCTGAAGGTCTCCTTTAAGTGAACCACATGATCCTGCATAGTCTTACTAAAAATCAGTTTATCATCAAAGACCACTAAGATAAACTTCCTCAAGTGTTCTTGAAAAATGTGGTTCATCGGCCCTTGAAAATTAGAGGGAGCGTTGGTTAAGCCGAATGGCATCACCAAATACTCGTAATGACCGGAATGGGTCCTAAAAGCTGTCTTGTGAATGTCTGAGGGTGCCATCCTAATTTGGTGATAGCCCGATCGAAGATCAATCTTTAAATACACTTGTGAACCCCTCAATTCATCCAACAACTCCTCAATGATAGGTATATGGTACCTGTCTTTAATTGTAATCTGGTTTAAAGCTCTGTAATCCACGCATAATTTCCAACTGCCATCCTTCTTCCCTACCAATACAACTGGAGACGCAAATGGACTACTACTGTGTTGTATTAAGCCCTGGAATTGTAATTCCTGCACCACTCTTTCAATAACATCTTTTTGCACGGGAGAATAGTTATAGGGCCTTGTATTTACTGGATTGGACCCTTCTTTGAGTGGAATGTGATGATCAAAAGGTTCCCTGAAAGGGGGCAACCCCTTTGGTTCACTGAAAACTCTCTTAAACTCCTGCAACACCTGCTGAATCTCAACAGGTTCAGCGCTTGGAAGCTACTCATGTTCCTCCTTGTGCTTCTCTGGTGCATTCCTTGTAACCTTAATCATAATAGTTGGGCCCCTTCCTTTTGTATTTTCTGCAAGCATCTGACTCCACCATCTGTAGTTTGGGCCTAATTCTTTGCAAGAGTAACATCTTCCCTTCATATTCAAATTGCATAGTCAACTTCTTAAAATTGAACAAAATGTCGCCCAAGTCACTTAACCACTAGACCCCCAACACTACATCACAAGTTCCCAAAGGAAGCAACAGAAAGTCTACTCTAAACATAGATCCTTGCAACAACCACTCATTTCCCTTGCACACTCCTGAGATTGGCACTGTGTTTCCATCAGCTAAATTAGCATCAAGTAATTCACATAATCCACCTTCCAGCCCATTTTAGTCACCAAATCTTTGTCAATGAAGTTATGAGTTGATCCCGTATCGATAAAGATATTGAGTGGCCTCTGTTGACAGTAGCTAGAGAGTCTTAATGTCTTGTAACCTATGGTGCCATGAAGAGCATAAATTGAGATCTCACACGTCTCTGCAATCTCTTCCCTGTTAAACAGCTCTTCCTTAATTTCCACCACTGTCTCCACTTCCTCTAACTCCAGCAAGTACAACTGAGCCCTGGCTTTACACATATGGCCATGCTCAAACTTTTCATCACAAACATAACACAATCTCTTGGCTCTCTTCTCACTCAATTCTGCAGGGGTGAGTCTCCTCCTCTTAGTCCTATCAAGGACTGTATTCTGTACATATTTTGGTAAATGGTTAACATGTGTTGTTACAGGTTTGGCATAGGTGGGTTGTTGTGATGCAACATGGGTTCTATTGAAGATATTAGATGATTGTAGAATGGAGGTTTTCAAAGCTTTGGATTGTTTAATAAAGATTGACTTCTGTAACCAAGCCAAATGATAGGCTTGAGGTAAGGAATAAGGTTTGAGAATCCTGACAACATCCCCTAATTCAGGTTTCAGCCCCTCTAAAAAGATGCTGATAGCATAACCGGGCTCCAGATTTAGCCTATTCATAACTCTATCAAATAACTCCTGAAACTCAACCACTCCTCCAATTTGCTTCACTTTAACTAACTCACTCATAGGGTCATCAAATTCTGCCCCAAACCTATCTGACAGTGCCCAAATATACTCCTTCTAGCTTGGGGAAGGCAGTTGCAACTGTGACCTGCTTCTCATGTATGCTCTATGCCACTGCAGAACCAAATCATCTAGGTGCATAGAAGTCACTTTCACCTTCTCATAGTGAGGGATCTCATCCATTGCAAAGAACTGTTCTATTTGGTACCACCAATCTTGGAACCCCTTTCCATTGAACCTAGGGAACCCAATTCTATGTTGTCTTAGAATGGAACGTGGTTACTGGTTATGAGTTGTGGTGGTATATTGGTATGGTAGGTAAATAGGTGACACAGGAGGTATAGGTCCTAGATTTGGGGGTATGGAATTCTGAAATATAGGTGTGTAACGGGGGTGGGTAAAGGAGCAGGGAATAGAACAGGAAATTTGGCCATTAGCTCCTGTCATTTGAGAGTGATATTGAGGAATGAGTGTTAAGCTCATCTGGCTGTGGTGTGTTATAGGAGTGGGTAAACCATGGTATGGGGCAAGTTGGTTGTGAGCTGCAGTAGCAACATGAGAGATAGTAGCTGGAATGGTTGAAGTTGAGAAACTGAAATTTTGGCTGGAATTTGGGTTACGAGCAGTTGGGTATGTGGGTTAGAGGTAGAAGGCAGAATTTGGGACTGGGTGGCAGGAATTTGAGAAGTATTAGGAATTTGAGTAATTGGGGAGTTAAAATTTTGGCCATTAGTTGGGTTTTGAACACCAAGTAACTGAACTCCCATGGATCTGTGCACAATAGGATTTGGACTTAATGGGGGAAATGAGATGGGATCATTGAGACCTATCAGGTCTTGTGGTCCGTCGGTGGGAGAATATAAATCAGCTCGATTTACCCCCGAGCTGGCTTCTTTGCCCTTACCGGAGTTTTGACTCGCCATGATAGTCTCTTTCAGTTCACAAAATGCTTGCTCATTCGCCGATTTCAACTGATTTTGTCGAAGGTTCACGTTAGCAACCTCAATATCTACTCGATCTAGTCGATTAAGCACTTCCTTGATTTCGCCGGACATGGCGAGCTCCCACAGTATAAGAAAATGCTCTGATACCACTGATATAATCTATTAACTTGCAAGGAAAATAACGGGAACTAAGCTAGCAATCTAAGAGAGAAGGAAAAGGAACTAAGTATTCTCATTCATAATCCTCAAATGGGCAAAGTGCTGTACATATAACGTGACTGAGATGGAGACTAAAGTAAAAGAAATATAAGACTAATCGGGCTAAAGTGAAAATACTTTTAGGGACTAAACTGGTAGTTCTCAAACTATATAACTGACTTAACTATTCCTTATTCTCGTACTACTATTCAAGCTCTATGTACTCCTCCCGCAGCTGTGCAATTGATGCAGTTCATATCATCTTTGATGTTTTTCTTCTGGAACCAATATTCCAGTCCCTTTCTGTGTAAATTTAGGCCTTACTATTAGTCATAACATGTTAAGGATTTTAAATGTCATTTCAACTTTTTGCAATTGACAGGATAGATTTGTGAAGCACTCAAGAATCAAGTCAGAGAATCGCTTCTTGGTGTTTCTGTCGGCTCTCACCCGAGAGACCCGGGTTCAAGTCCGGGCAACGGAATTTAATTTTTCTAAACGATCTTTCCATTTTTTTTTAATTTTGATTGTCACACCAGAATACGCTCAATCCCTTAATTCGAAAGCCCAAAATTCTTTGTTCTTTGCGTCTTTTCCCCGAGAAGTAGCCGAGGGTGAAGCTTCATTCTTCTCAAAATCTCCTGCCTATTTCATATTGCGGTGAAACCATAGATTCTATATCCAAAGAGGCAAATAAGCAGACGTATAGGTATTCTTTTGCATCTCTTTTGTTGCTTCTTTTTTCTTTGTGCTTGCTGGCTATTAAGTAGACGTATGTGGATTTAGGGTTTTTTAAGTTTGCTTCTCATGATTTCTTGAAGTGATAAATTAGCATATCTTGCTTCGTAGGGGTAGCTTCGATTTCGATAATTCATTTATTTTCTTATTCTCATTGAGAGGAGATAGTAAAGTTCTAGCTTTGAAGTCGCATTTTCCAGAGTCAAATTTCTTTCACACCATTTGGCAAATTGCGGGCTGCGGCTATATAAAGTTAGGTGATTTACTAGGTATAATTCATCTTGATTTTGGTCTATACTTCCTCTGACAACATTGATGTGGTTACGTGAAACTTGATTTAATTATCTAAAGATTGCGTGTTGAGTTGAGACGAGTCGTCCCCACTCTGCTTTTTGCATATATTGCTTCTGGGTTTAATAAGTCCAAGGAATCACCAGTTTGCTAGATCTCCTTCTTTTTTTTTTTGGCAGCTTCGCTTTCAGTTTGCCTGCCATGTGTTTGTCAAATTGCCTTCTGAAAGTTCATCTTAGCATGTCACAGTGCCAAGCTGAATCAAGATTGTCAATTGTCATATAAGCTGTAAAACTGAACCTCCCATAAGCGCACATTTGAATGCATTGTTAAAAATTAACCCAAATGTATCATTTGGAATGATTAGTCGTTACATGTGCTCACATAAGCAATGTTTAAAATTCCTTGCATAGAAAACTAACTTCTATTAATTATAGTATGGATATCCTTTGCCCCTAAATTTTCTCTATTCTTTTTTTCCCCGTAATGTAACAGCAAAAATGCTGGCTTCTAAGGGAGCAGTTGTCTCAGATTCTAGAGTGATGATGAGGACCTTATTCTCCCCCTGCAATGTATGTCATAACACTCTTAGAAAGGGAGTTCGTAGCTTCATATGCTTCTTGCTTCATTTTTGTTTTTATGTTTAGAAGCTCAGATTTCCTCTTTGATGATGAATCTTCTTGATACTTCATATGAACTCTCCTCATATCTAGTATTTGCCTTATTAACTTGACTCAAGAATTCTGTAAGAGTAGCACCTTTTATGTTGTTTCATCTTCAATAAAGAAGCCAGATTATAGGTGTGAACTATCAGGATATATAAGAAGCTACCATCTTTTTACATGTTAAGCTATTAAATGCTGAGGACCACGTAACCAAGTTTTTCGGCATGCCTCAATATGGAGCTGTAATTTACCTTTTCTCATATGGATAAGACCCGAGTTGCATTTCAGAAAAGTGATCCCACTTCAAAAGATGCATCTGAAGAGGGAAAGTATTAGTAAATGAACAGGCCACAACTTTGATTAACTAGTGGAAAAAGTAAATCAAGGTGCTGCTGAAAAAATTGTTCGAAGACAAAATCCTATAATGAGTCTTGCCTGTAAAAGTTGTGATGTATACAATGTGTCTGCCAATTCAAGAGGGAAGATCATATTTGTTTTCCCTCTGTGAAAGCTATTGCTTCCTTGAAGTAGAAAGATGAAGTGCTGCCGACTGCTCTTTCTGTTCGTACTTTGTCAAAAGTTTGGTGGAATTTTCATTTACAACAGTTCTCTTTGTGGAAAACCTCTGACTCTCTGGTTTAGGTATCCTTTATCTCTTGAAGTTGATAAATTTTTGCATAAAATAGAAAATGGTTATTTTTGAATTGTATTGGTTGGAATAGTTTACAAAAGTAATGTCTTCTCCACTTACCATTAACTACTTAAGAGTGGGTTGATTTTGAATATAAGGGGGATGTGTTTTGATATTACTATCCAATAACTGCAAGCCAATTCAAGCATTTGGATGCATTTTCCCCTATACCTCCTCTCCCACCCACCCTCCCTTTTTCCTGAATGTCTTTTAGGATGTAATGTGTGCAATAATTTTTGCTTAAACCATAGCGAATTTCATCCTTTATTCTGTATATGTAGTTCTGAAGGACTTTATCACTTCTAAGTAGATGTTGCTTTTAATTATCACTTTTTAAAATTTTACAAGATATTTGACACATTAGTGCAAGAGTGTATATTATGGAAAACAATTTTGGTCCCTACTTCAAATGCTCCCCTTGCTCTGATGTACCAAATGTGTTAGATACAAGATACATAACCTTCCCTTGGCTCAGAGTAGTGTAATAGAGTTTATGAACCAATCAGCTCTATATCTTTGAGTTTATGGAAAATAATATCTTTGATTTTCTCGCTTTTGGGGTACTCTATTAAGATATTCTATATTTAGCTTAAAAAATCACACCTCTTTAATCAAATCAAATTATTGTTATCCAGATTTCACATATATCAGTTATTAGCTTTGGACGGAAAAGCTCGTCAAAAGCCTTTAGTGCAAAAATGGAGCTCTCAATCACACGACCTGATGATTGGCATCTTCATCTTCGTGATGGTGACGTTCTTAAGACAGTTGTCTCGCACAGGTTTTTAGTTAAATTCTTAAGCTGATGGTGTGGGACTCTAATCAATATTGATTAGCCGATTATGATAGTTTATAGTTTATAGTTTATGTTCAGTTCCTTCTTCTACAACTTTGTTTAGTTCGGTTTCTTATCTTGATTTTGACTTGTTCATGCTGCATTCTTTGATAAAGTGCACATCACTTTGGGAGGGCTATAGTTATGCCAAATTTGAAGCCTCCTATCACGACCACCGCCGCTGCTGTAGCATACCGGGAAGCGATATTGAAATCTTTGCCTGCCAATAGTGATTTCAGTCCTCTTATGACACTTTATTTAACAGATACAACCAGTCCTCTTGAAATCAAACTAGCAAGTAAGTCCAATATATTTTTTATATGGAAATATCTTTTATTTAAAATCACATAAAATTAGATTAGATGTTATTCTTTTTTTTTCTTTTTTCTTTTTTGTGATAAGGTAGGGTAAACATTAGATGTTATTCTTCTGTGCTATAGCTCAGTTAGTGCATATATGACATTCTTCTATCATAGTGCAGGCACTTATCTTAGGAAACAAAAAAATAAGTTTCAGTGAATGATAATAGTCGTATATACGTGTCAATAAGATCATGACAGAAAAGGCACCACTAGAAAGCCTATTTGGTGAAACTTTAAGTAGTGCTGAAATAAGAGACATTGTAATTCTTCATTAATTCATTCTAAAGCTGGCGTTTTAGTTTTGCTATTGTGACAATTTATATCGACGGTTAATAAAAAACTATTATTCCCTGCAGCCTTGCTTCTAGCATCCTACTTTGGTGGTTTTGTATAGCTTTTCAGGTGGTAATAGAAATGGTACTAGGGGGTCAGGGAAATGTAGTTCCAAATTTGAACATATGACCTTAAAGTTCTTTTCAAATTTAGTCAGAAACCAATTTCTCCCTGTTGCTTTGCTTCTAACGTCCTACTTGGGTGGTTTGGCTTTCTAGATGTTTGTAAAATGGGCACCTAGGGTTCAGGGAAGTGTAATTCATAATTTATTCTTAAGACATTAAAGTTCAAGGCTAGATTCTCGGCTACGTGCCATCCTTTTTTTTTTTGGGGGTCTTCTTGTTATGTCTACTTTCGTATCAGATCACAATCCTTGAAATTCTGAAGTCAGTGTTGTGTGGCTCTTGTCCTACAAAGTCCGGTTTCACTTACTTCCATGGGAATTTAAACATGTTAAATTTTGTAGCATTTAAGTTAAACTGATTGTGCACAGTCAGCCGAGTGCAGTTTTATTTCATAGTGAATGGTCCATGTTCATATTTTTCTTTCCATGAAAGCATTTATGTATTATCCTTTTTCTTTTTGTTGTTTTATCTAGTATTTTGTCCACTTTTTCTAATAAGATGAGAGTAAAACAGGAGAGAGCCAGGTCGTATTTGGGGTGAAGTTATATCCTGCTGGTGCCACGACAAATTCACAAGATGGAGTGACTGATCTCTTGGGGAAGTGTTTACCAGTTCTACAGGAAATGGTTGAGCATAATATGCCTCTGCTGGTAACTTGATGCTAAACTTGGTACTAAGTGATTCTTGTTCCACTAGAACGTTGCATAAGCTCTAATGTACATGCTAACCTTACCACCAAAAGGATATTGCTATTTACATTGTATAAAGCTGCACATTAAAACTTGTCTCTTTATGTCCGTGCTAGGTCTAGGTTTTAGCGGTTGGCTGATGCATCTTTTGAATGCATCTTTTGAAGGTTAATCTTCTTCTTGATAGCTTATGTTCTTGAGAGGTTATGTTGGGGAAAACGCAAAGAAGATTCAGTAACCTCTCAATAAGAGCACTTTGCCTTTTGACAAAAAAATGATAAAACTATGGTACTCTCACGAATAGAAGGACCCTCAGTTGTGATATGTTCACATTATTAAACACAATTGGAACAAAAAGATAATATATATTTTAAGAGAAGAAAATTGCACTCAGTGAAAGAATCTGTCGAAGTAATGAATGGAGCTGCATACAAGATAACATTGCACCAATCATGTTCTCGCCCTTTACTGCACAACTCCGCAGTAAACTCTCTGACATGGACAAATTTGGCCATGTGAAGTAAACTTTTCACAGTGGCATGGTTTTGTCTTAGCTTTGGTCAGTTAAAACTTTTTTTCAAACAGATCATTGGTCAGTTAAAACTTAAAAGGAAGTAACTCATCATTGGTTGCTTCTATACGAAGTTTCTGAACTAATCTTTGTGGTCAAACTATCTTAAAGTGTTGATTACTTTTCACCCTATTAGAGACATTATTACAGATTAATTATCATCATAATTCTTATGGTAATACTGGTTCATCATTGAGTTTTACAATGACAGCTGTTATTGTCATCCATTTAGTTGGGACTACTAGCATTTCATAACAGAGCAGAGCACTTATTTTTTTCAATTTTTTTCTGCTTTGCTTATGGATACTGGAGACTGCTAGAATTGATCTCATCAAGTCTATTACTATCAACATATTCTAGTGCTCTGGGTTTTCAGGATTATTGTTGCTTCTCATTTCAAACAGAAATGCTGTTGTCAGTTCCTTGAACCTTCTCTTATTATTTCTTTCCTATGCTAGTCGCTTTTCTAGTTTCTTTTTATCTTTTGGTTCTCTATAAAATAAATTCAGCATTTACCTGTAGTAACTCAACCTTAATCGTGTCTTTTTCTTCTCCCAAATATTCTGCCAAAGCTTGTGGTTTTTGTCATTTTCCTTGAAATAACTTCATTTCATAGGATTTTTATGTATTGCAGTTGACTGCAGGTTCATGGAGAGGTTACAAATCCTGAGGTTGACATTTTTGATCGAGAAAAAGTATTCATTGAAATGGTTCTAAGCCCTTTGGTTCAGAAATTTCCACGATTGAAGGTCGTGATGGAGCATGTTACCACCATGGATGCTGTAAAGTTTGTTGAATCTTGCACTGAAGGTGATCTTTTCTACTTGATCCACCTCTTACTTCTCTCTTCTTGTCAGTGGAAAGAACTTTATTGACCCTCCTTTTTCAAATGCTAATTTAGCCTTGCTATCGTTCTTTTAAAGGAAATGTTGCAGCGACTGTCACCCCACAGCATCTTGTTTTGAACAGGAATTCTCTCTTCCAAGGGGGCTTGCAACCGCATAATTACTGCCTTCCAGTGCTCAAAAGAGAGATCCACAGTAATATCCTTTATCCTTTCATATTGATGCTCAGATTCTTTCTTGTATATTTGGTGCTTGTCTTTCGGTTTCAAGAACAATCATGAAGTAACATTTCTTTTAAATTTTGAAAAACCAGCTAGGATTCTTTTTAACCACCTTAGTGACTACAATGTGATGTAGACCTTGTTTGGTTCAACGAAGGGGATGAGGACTTGTTCATTTTCTTCTCCTGCTTAAAGGACTTACCATTAACCTCCACTTGTTTGGTTCGACTCCAACTGAGGTGGAAGAGGTTGATTTCCTAATTCCCCAAGTTTTGACGGTTTTGAAAAGTTGAGGAGTTGCATATCCTACACGTTTTCTTTTCCTCAAGCAAGGTTAATTTTTTCCTCATCCTTTACTTTCCTTCCTGTGAGTCCTTTTTCACTCCGTCCAACCATAATTTATGAGAACATAGGTTTTGAGAAGGTAAGGTAATATATGAGAATATAGCTTTTTTTGGAGGCAAGGTAAATGTATGAGAATATAACTAATATTAGTATTTCCTCCAAGGTTATTTTTGAGCTTGTTTCTCTGCCATGTTTTACTTGAGCACATTGTTGGATTGTAAAGATGTAGTTCACCAGACACACCTTCTTAGTTAAAAGCTTGAAAAGATCTAGAGTGCAACTTATATCACTTGACCTCACCTCATGTCCAAATATCGGCTACACTACACGAATCCTCTGTGGCCATTCGGCTCCACTCCTGGTTACTATTTTTCCAGTAATGAGTAATTGTCTTTTGAGGAAAATTAGGGATTCTTTTAAACTAGAGGTTCTCTAGATCTCTTTTTTTCCTGCACGAACATACATGTGTCTGACCAGAATAAAAGGAGGGACATAGATACCAACTGATGTGGTATGCTTCTTTAGCTACACCTGGCTATGGTGTGGAACCCTTGCTTATACTTCAAAAAAAATATTGTCTAAATGCCTACTATCGTGTTAGAATATGGCATTTTGATTTTGCTTTACGGATTATCTGAGATATACTGTCACCATAACAAAGAAGAATTGGATTAACGCCATCTACCTTGAAAATTTGAAAGTTAGGTAGAAGCTGTATTTGCCTGTTATTGACCCTTTTCTGGGTACAATAATTTGCTAAAGTTTCCTCGTCTAACCTTTTCTTTTTTGTGGCTCTTTGTAAGAGTTATGAAAGTTTTAGTCTTGTTGATGCTAATATATGTGTCACGAATCACTATATGATCAGGCTCTCTCTAATTTGTAAATTCTATCCATTGCTTTTCGAAATAAAAAAAGTGAACAAGTGCTTGAAACAAAATTCTAATCGTATATACTCACATGGTTACAAGATCTATTGCATTGGTCTTTCCCATATTCTGCTACTTTTCTCTTTTCTCTTGTTCACTTTGAACTATACAGGGCAGGCTCTTGTGTCAGCTGTAACAAGTGGAAGTAAAAGATTTTTTCTTGGGACTGACAGCGCTCCTCATGATAGACGAAAGAAAGAATGTTCTTGCGGGTGTGCTGGTATTTACAATGCTCCTGTAGCCTTATCAGCATATGCGAAGGTGTTTGAACAGGTAAATGCAATGGATCTTTGTAGTGTTTCTTGCGAATGTTACTTTTGTACTCTTTTGTACCCTGTTCATTTGTCGTAAAAATTAACTTCTTTACTCGAGACAGTAATTATCTTGCATCACGAGAATAAAATTTATCATATTGTTGCGTGTTGAATTCTTTCCATGTTAATATAATGTTTCTAACTAGTTCTGATGGATTCTTTAATTAGTAGCTACCGCTATATGTCAATGACATAAATTTGGTTGTTTGCATTTTAGGCAAATGCACTTGACAAGCTCGAAGCATTTACTAGCTTCAACGGACCAGATTTCTATGGGCTTCCCAGGAACAACTCAAAGATTAAGTTGAGCAAGACGCCATGGAAGGTGCCCGAATCCTTTTCCTATGCATCGGGAGATATCGTTCCCATGTTTGCTGGTGAAATGCTCGACTGGTTGCCCTCTCCTCTCTGAGAAAGAAAAAGAGATTCCCATTTTCATCTGACATTCTTGTTGTACTGTAATATTGTGATTTAATAAAACATATGGACTATAGAGGTATTCATCTTTGCTTTCCTGTTGATTAGGCATTATCGGAAATTCAGAATGATAAAGGTGATTTCGATAATACCCTTTCAGCCTAAAATTATCGAGATAATAATAAAGCAAACGGATGCACCAAAGAGCTTCTCTATTCTAAGTTTCTTAAATTGTTCGTTTGATTTTGAAAGTTTACTGATTATGCATTTTCTATCCTCCAAATGTCACTTGAGATGGTTTGGTCATGTCCTACATCGACTCTCAGATGTATTGGTATGTAGGTGTAAAAGCATAGTGAGAGTAACGTGTTCAAACGGGGTGGTAGATTGAAGATCACATGGAAGGAAGTTATCTTGAATGACTTATAACCTTTTAAAATCCATAGACCTAACAAAAACTACGCAAAAAGGAAGAAAAGAATCTCTATAAGATACCAGTAAGTTGACATAAGTTTAATCAACAACAACAACATACCCAGTAAAATCCCACTAGTAGGGGCTGGGGAGGGTAGGATGTACGCAGACCTTACCCCTACTCCGGAAGGGTAGAGAGGCTGTTTCCGGGAGACCCTCAGCTCAACAGGAGAAATAATAATTTCAAAAAGACACGAAAGGAGAGATAGGTAACAACAAAAAAAGCAAGAGAAATGATAATAATATCTTAAAATAGACCAAATAGGTGAAAGGGAGTGCAATAATAAAATCATATGCAAAATAACAAAATAGTGTAAACATAACATATACCGCTAGCAGACCTAGGCATAACTCTATCAGACTACCCTGTACAAAGAGGGAAAAACTATGAACTACCCCTAGCCTACAACCCTAATGCTCGACCTCCACGCTTTCCTATCAAGAGCCATGTCCTCGGAAATCTCGAGTCGCGCCATGTCTTGCCTGATCACCTCTCCCCAATTCTTCTTAGGACGCCTTCTACCTCTTCTCGTACCTGCCAAAGCCAACCGCTCGCGCCTCCTAACCGGGGAATCTATGGTTCTCCTCCGCACGTGTTCAAACCACCTAAGCCTCGCTTCCCGCATCTTGTCGTCCACAGGAGCAACGCCCACCTTCTCCCTAATAACTTCATTCCTTATCTTATCCAGTTTAGTATGTCCGCACATCCATCTCAACATCCTCATCTCGGCTACATTCATCTTCTGGATATGTGAGTTCTTAACTAGCCAACACTCAACCCCATATAACATAGCCGGCCTAACCACCGCTCTGTAGAACTTACCTTTGAGTTTCAATGGTACCCTCTTGTCACACAGGACTCCAGATGCTAACCGCCATTTCATCCACCCCACTCCAATGCAGTGCGTGACATTGACATAAGTTTAATCATGTTAGCAATTTAGTCTCTCGTAGCGTACTTCTACACCTTTTTATTTTTGTTTTATATAATATTAAATAAAGATTCATATTGCTAATCTCAACTAGTACTAGTTGTTGCAAGTGATCAACACATGACTTTGACTAAGTACTTTTTCATTTGCATACCAAATTACGAAGAAAATTTTCTTTAGGAAAACGATTAAAACGGGCGAGAATTATTCCCAGTAAGATGGCATTGGTTTATAATTTAGAGTATAGCCCGTTTGACCAAGCTGTTAAAAATCAGCTTATTTTGAGAATTGTTTTCTTTCAAAAGTATTTTTCTCAAAACTACTTTTGGTGAGAAGCAGTTTGTGTTTGGCTAATTAGTTTGAAAAGTACTTCTGAGCAGCAATTAGTGTTTGCCCAAGCTTTAGAAAAACTGTTTCTAAGTGTATTTTTCTCAAAAGTACTTCTCAAAAAAGTGCTTTTGGAGACAAGCTACTTTTTTCTGCTTCTCCAAAACTGTTTCTGCTTCTCCTCAGAAGCACTTTTTTCCTTCCAGAAGCTAGGTCAAAACCAAAAAAGCACTTTTGGCCAAAAACAAGCTTGGTCAAACAGGCTAGTAAACTTATCAATGTCATACACACAAGCGACAGGATTATATTATTCGGAGGAAAAGACAGTTGACGTCTACCCTGTTGGGTTTGTAGGAGGTTGTATTCAATAAATCTGTCTCAAATCTTCAAAGATATAGCCAGCTATTGATTACAGGTCTATACCAAAGTATTGTTCCTCTGCTTTCCTCAAAGGTCACATACTCGCATTGACAATGAATATCATATAAATATGAACGGTTATCAAGATCAATTGAAAAATTAAAATCGTTCAGCACTTGCTAAGAACAAAATATAAAGGCACATGGAAAAGGAAGAAGATATGCAAACATACATGTACGAAGCACAAATAATTGAATAGTCATACCTTCATATCTTTGAAAGTTTGAATCACATTTGACAGGAATACAGACAACATTTTCTAATCAACATATTCCCATCATATCAACAAGGGTACTGTATCTGAATCTAACAATGTAGGAGCTCAGTAAAATACTTAAACCCATGGCCAACTTTGTATGATCATCACGTCCAAGGAAAAGTAGTATGCCAAAAGTTATGTCCGCAAGCCACAGCATGAAACCAGGTCCCAGTTAGCTGTTAAAACTGTTCATCATATCTTGTCTTTGCCTCATGCTGGCAGTTGAAGCTTGGCATTATTTTTCCAACTGCAAAACAAATTTATTAGTAGTTTGTTTACGTCATCAAGAAGTAGCCACTCCAAGAAGCTTTAAGGAATTGTTACCTGATGAAGTAATAATAAAAGAAATCTGCATAAAGGGCCGTCTGGACAAGACCAGAGACGCAAGCTGCAAAAGGAAAAAAATAATTCAACTTTGAAGAACCATTGCGAGTGGCAAACAAATATTACTGGTTGTATCTTGAAAAACTTACATATCCATCTAGTGAAACGCGGCTCTGTCAAATAGCGGTAAATCCAGTTTAAGATGTAAAATGCACGATAGGCCCTGTAATTATAAATCCAGCATGTCAGTGACAATACCCAATAAATCCTTAACTATTTTAAATCAAATTGTAAAATATTCTTATGCCTGATTACAACTAGAAAGGAACATATCTAGCGTGTGTACATAACTTAAAAACCTTTAATGGTTAGATCCCTTTCTGCTCCCAAGGATTATAATACAAAAGGGAAGAGAAACAAAATCAAGACGGATGATAAATACGGGCAGAGAGCACGCGTAGTCAGTAGTGTGAGAAAGAGACCACAAATCCATTTTTTCACACAATGACCTTACTAATCATTTCCCTTTCTTTTGCAGTGAGATGGCAATAATTGCTATCACAATAAACAGTTCAACGGCTTAAGGAAACATTTTAACGGAAGATCCTATCCTGCAGAGTAAGGAAAGCATCACTTGCAATAATGTTATACATGTAAAAAAGGATTCTCAGGACCTAAGACATCTTCTTTTGCATTGTACTGTAATATGGAAGATCTGGAGTATGTTCCTAAGTATCTGGAGTGGTTAAAGCGCTCTACTGAAGAACACTTTCACAAGCTGGAGAAGATAGAAACTACAAAGACAGTTTAAGTACTGATAGAATACAGTTCCCCCATGCATCGTGTGGGTATATGGAAAAGAGGAACCAATGCTTTGAAGGAAGAACATGTATCACATCATTTTGAATTCAAATGTTCACAATCATTTGTACACGGTAGATTCTTGGATGAACTTCATTAACTCCTTGCATAATTAAAATCGAGACTAGTCTTTTCTAGCAGCACTCAATTGGGCTGTTCTGCGAACAAATTTGTACGAACTTATGAAAATAAAAAACAGCAAATTGTCCAATGTCAGCTCTGACTGATAATCGAACTCAGATAAAAAAATAGATATGCCCAAATCAACATAAAATTGCTCCAATTTTCAAAATACGATGCAAATAATGTCCTTTCAGGAAGTGGCCAGATTTACTGGAGAAGAAGCATACCCAAGGAAGAACACATATTGGCCAGTCAGATTATCAACGTTTCCACTTCTTTGCAAGAGTACCAACTGGGGAAGAATGGCAACTGCCTCCAGGTATATTGAGAAAGCCCAAAACAGCTGAAACAACAATATATGAAGCATCAACAGTGTCAACAGGGAGCAAGCAAATTTAAATTCGAGAATCAAGATTCGGCCAAAAAAGGACAAAGAAAACAAGTAACACAATCTCTGCCACAGGGTCATTGCGGAAATTCTAATCAGTCGTAGGAGGATTGAATGGAAGCTTATTAATTAGTATAGCACCTTGCAACATAGCGTAAGGCTCAATCCTCACTGGCACTTCTCCCCCATCCCCTCCCTTTTCTCTCCTAGCCCACAAAATAAAAAGAAGAGACTCAATCCCTAATGATATAAACTGATGAGTCAAAGTATAAGGATACCATGAGTACTGAGAAATCTCATTTATCTTTCTCTTTTGATGTACTGGGCTTAATGGAGGAACCTCATATTGTTAACACTGCCAAGACAGACAACTAGATGAATGAAACGGAAGGGAAACCACGAATGAAAATACAGGAAGACATTGCAAACCATATAGACAAGAAGATGTCTTTACTCATGCAAATTGTAATGAAACATACTATGAACAACACCAAGTCGTAAAAGAAATGCACAAAATCCACGCCCATACTCATTGAGAGTTTCATTGACCTAGTAAGGTTATAGAGTATGAGAATATTTGGCGAGGACAGTGGAAAAAAGAATTCGAGAGTTCAGCTGGCTCTGAACAGGGAAAAGTAGCTGGAGCCCAGAGTCAAATACAAAATAGACAAGGTCAAACTTCAGTCACAACTTTGTTTGCCCTCGGATCTGGTTAAATCATCATAACAGAACATTCCAATACAAGAGATGCAAACAACTAACCCAAATGGCTATTACAGAAATTCTTCTTGAAGATAGGGCAGGCTGATTCAGATGTTAACAACAGCTGATTACTTAAAGAAGGTCTATCCATTCACATGAATGCAAACATATCATCTCAATATGTGTCAGGCTGCTGACCGTATATTGCCAACGTAAAGAGTTTATATCTTCTTATGAGAACTCCTAGGTCACTATAAAATCGTTCATAGCTTGTCATGCAAACTCAGAGATAATCATGAAATGGGTTACCTTAAGAAGGTCTGTACAAGCACTCTTTCAAGGTTGCTATAACCATGTACATGCAGAGTAGCATGTGAGTAATAGCAAACAGACATTTATGGTGTTCATTCACTTAGTGACGGACTGACTATGTGAGCTTGCTCACATTGTTGGTCTCGAGCCCGGATAAAGGAGAAGGATTATGGTAGGCTGACAAACAGCATAAAATTAGTCAATTTACCATGAATCCTCACGATACTGAAAATAGCATCTGGACGTGCCCATCTAGGAGTGCATTGCACCGGCAACCGGAAGTTTGAGATGAGCTTGAATGGAATGACATGGTCAGTGATGATTCATATAGCCGACCCAAACTTGCTTAGAATTGAGGCATAGTTGTTAATGTTTCGATGTCACTAGTAATGGATTCAAAGCAACACAACACTTCTAGAGAAATTCACTATTTACAGTAGCCAGCCTATTAAAATTCAACTCTGAAAACATGGTTGTCGCAAGCACCAACAGGATGTTGTGCTTGTCAAGATCTACATATATAAGTCACCAGCTAACAGAAAAAATTAATATAAGTCACCAGCTAACAGAAAAAATTAAGTGAGAAGAAGCAGGATTATCATTGCTAGGAAAATCCATATAAAATAGTTAGAACATTTAGAGATCACTACTAACCTCCTGAAAGGTAAACTTCTCATGAAGAACAAGCGCCAAAGCGAAACACGCTCCAACAAGAATCCAGTAACGAAAAGTATCTAGCTCACGGTCATATGAGCGCCTGACAACCCGGTGGTACCTCATACACCAGACAATTGCCAAAGAGCTTCCAATAAAAACCAGTTTCATCACAGTGTTGTAAAGAGATATGAAGTCACTGAACAAATCCAGATACCGAGCCAAGAACACGATAGCATATAACTCCTGTGTCTTCAATGATATTCCTGAATACAGCAAACACTCTCAGTGCCAACTAGATTTCAGCACAAGTATATTTCAAGCTACTGGAAGATGCAATGAGTCCCTTCAATGGTGAAACTTGAAATATAATGTACAAAAAGGTCCGTACACGTCAATGAATGAGCTATTGAATTCTAAGAATCATATATTTTACTTTATATTAAGAGAAAGGGTAATGTTTCATTCTCTTTTTCTTTTTTGATAAGCTCGTGCACGCCTCAACTATTTCACCGGCTACCTGCTTGCTACCTCCCACCAGAATAGGTACTGGGCTTTGTCCAAATTGAGTGTTTAAAATGTTTGCTGCAATTTGAACCCTGATCTCTGAGTTTTGTACCCTCTTCGTTAACCACTAGGCAACACCCTTGGTACATCTGTAATTATACCGAGGTATTTATGACCCTCCTTATTAGTAATCTAAGTCCTAACATACCATACTTCAGCTGGTTTGCTGATTTACTTCTGTTGACAACATCCACTAGAAACGAACATGTTAACGTGTACCTCTTCATATTTTCAAATTACTTACAGTGCCACTGATTTCACTAAATGTCCTACACAAATACAGATATCCACTTTGTATGTGGCACAAAGCTAACCTAGTTAAAGGTCCAAGACTAGATATGACACAGAAATAGTCACGAAGCGTCAAAGAAATTTCCAAACATTAATAAAAAACAATGATCACACGTGGCAATCTCCCAGTACGTTTAAAACTGCGTCCAAGTCCTATGAGATTCTGGACTTGCATAATGTCACTACTTCCTTGTAGATAAAATGTATCCTGTCCATTGCCTAATTCAGTTGCTAGTACATAAAAGGAATAACAGGCCGACTTCTCTTAGCTTGCTACTTTAATATATCAAGAGCCACATAACATTATTATTACTTTTTCAATTCTGAATGCACAAATCACATACATAGCTCGCTATTAATTATATGTGTGTTGAATTTAAGACCTAATCAGATACGGTCATCTATGTATAGAGCAAAACTACTCATATTCAGGTTTCAACATGAATAAAAATGAAATTAATTGAAAACAGAACCGTATGCAGAACTCTGTTTCACCTTCTGATGCGGAACTATTACATGCTACATAATATACTCAGATTCTATGAGCTACATAATTCAAAGTTGACAAGTTTGCATCTGTTCGTCTCACACACAGAGAGATATATAATAGCTGGTTGAGGAAGTGAGAGTGAAAATGCAAAAGGGAAGAAGAAGACCTGAGCATGATTTGGTCGCGTAGATTTTGAGGAGGAGAACTAAGACACTAATCAAATGTGTCATGTCCCCCGCCAATCTGAAGATATTCATGATTCCTACTGCGAAACACGTCCTATTCCAGCCCCAGATTGATTGCTCTAGAAGAGTCTCAATTTCTGAAGAAAAATGATGAAGATTTGGGGGTTTGAATTGGAAGTTGAGAGAAATGCAGAAATGAAATGGAACTTGAATTGGAATTTGTTTTTGGGATCAAAATTGAGAATACTTTTTTTTTTTTTGTAATTATATGAGGTAAGCGGCTAGAGATACACGTGTCAGTTCCAAACGTCCACCAGGCATGTGTTCAGAAAATGACATTGGGGACGAGAAAAATGAAAAAAAAAAAGTACTTCTGTGAGGCCTTTTGGTAAAATTGTACTACCTTAACTTAAAGGGCTATGATATAAGTTGTTAGTGTGAGACCCCAATGTGTTTTTTTCTCTTCTCTTGCGTAATATACGTAATGTGGCGTGGTTATATTAGGTATATACGATTGGGTATAGTACATTGGGAGAATAAGACTGAAAATGTGTGATAATATTAAGGAACTAACTAAAGTTTTAGGTCAAAGGAATACCTTAAACAAAGGTTCGTGGTTAAAGAAATGGCTCGGGTAGCACCCCGTGCGTTCGGAAGGTTTAAGTTAACTTGCACCTGTGAGATAAGACTAAGAGTGTCTAATATGCTAAGAATAGTGTATTATGAGGTATTATAATATCACACGGGTCACATGTTAAGTTTTGGAATCAAGCAAGTTGCGAAATAAAGGTCGGCAAAGGTTATCGTAAAGTTCTCTAATAATTTTTCTAAACTTTGGGTCAAATGTATCAGATCATTTCTCCCAATATATAATGAGTTATGGGACCCACAACCTATCAAATTGAAGGTATACAAGTCTAGTTCGCAACCAAAAATACCTCACGTCAAACGGACATTGGAGTAAAAAGTTATGACTGTTTTACCCCGGACTGTCCAGGCTGAAACCGGGTCGCGAACCGAGTTGGGTCAAACAAGTGGTATAAGTCGGCAAATCCGACTTGTAAGACCCCAAAACATTTCATTTTCGTCCCAAAATAGTGAGGGAGCTGAAGAGAGGGTTCCATGGTATTCTTGAGTGATTAAGGTACGTTTTTAACAATTTCTCCCGTTAAAGTTTGTCCCCGTGCCTAGAAACTCAATCTCTATGCTTTGCAATCGTTCCCCCCTTCTATTAGCTGTGTTTGGAGCTATTTTTGGAAGATAGGAATTTGTTGTTCTTGCTGGTTCTTCAGGCTTTATACTTGATTTTCCAAGGTAATCATCTTGGGACTCTTTTATGATCGTTTTTACAAAGTTCTACGGACGTTTCGTCAAGTTAGGGCCATATGGCAAATCTGCCGATTTAAACTCAATTATGAACTGTTTATAGGTGCGTATAAGCTGCATATATATAGTGTTTGCGAAGCTTAGGACGTAAGGAACAGCTTTCGTGAAGGAACTACAGGCATTCGGACGTTTGTTGGGAAGGTATGTTAAGGCTAAGCTCCGTCCTTCCTTTTTGCACGAATTCTTGAAAATTCCTAAGACGTCAAATGTGATATTTTACTATTCTATTGCTAGAAAGACCTTCTGTGAAAGGCATTGGGATCGTAGCTGAAGTATTTTCATTATGCTATTAGGTTGATATTCCACTCGTTCAATTAATTAGGGTATTCGACATCTATATATGTTATTTTGTCGGTTTTCTTATCCATATGTTTATATATATGAATTCTTATTTGTCTTTGGGTTGTGTGACTAAACAAAATAAAGGCATGTAGTATTTACGATCAGTCCTTCTTTCTTGTTAAAGTATATTTTAAAATCTCTAAAGTGACACATCGATTTCCAAAAATCTCAAATATAAATTTTACGTTTAAACTATTAAAACACTTGATTTTTGATATACTTTCCTTTACTAATTATTAAGAAATCAGGTATAAGGACTAAGTGAAGCACCTTAAGCTTTTTATGAACATCTTCAGAGTTAAGTTATCTTTCTAAAAGTCGAGTTAAGTTTTCAAGCTTATTTAATCAAAGAAAACATATGAGGTTCCACGAGACAATTGTATGCGATACGAAGGTGATTATGAGATTATAAGAATAAGAGTACCAATGAGCCAAGATAGGCTAGGTTCTTGTTATGGCCTATTATGTGCATTCAAAGTTCATATCATACATGACATATTATGCATGGACTTCGAGCTATAATCGGAGGTAAGGGGCCTATTTGCCCGAAAAACTATATATATTATACAGATGGCCACAGGTTGGCAATATGATATCGGTTAGCTACTAAGAGAGACCGTCATTGCTAGCATTTGGTTGAGTATGTCATGCATTTGCATCAATATATATATGTATTCACGACATACGCTTACACGAGCATACCATGCATAATTGATTACTATGAGGTCGGATGTCGGTCATGAAGGCTATAAGAGTTTCAGTGTCCGGTGGTTTCACTATTATTTTTTTTACATCAGCTATGTATGATTCTACTTTCTGCCTTATATACCAGTATATTTTTATTCGTACTGATGTCCCGTTGCCTGGGGACACTGCATTTTTGTTTCGTGC